CGGAATCTAGAAAAGAGAGAACCATAGAGCAGAGAATGCATTTGTTACTTCATTTAACAAACATTTGCTGATCACCATGTGCCAGGCACTGTTGCCACTGCCTACCAGGAGTATTCAAACAAAAGCAGACTTCAAATTATAATTTAATCTATGAAGGGAATAAATACTGATTTAATGGTAAATGGGAAAATTTTGTTAGAGAAAGAGAGAGAGAGAACAAAAAGAAGGGAATGAGAGAGAAAGAGAGAGAGAGATTTATAATGTTGGAAAGAGTCTAGACATACGAAGTCCAAGAGGAAGAGTAGAGAAATCATGAAAAAAGAAACAGCTCATGTGACTGGTATATAGTGGGAAAAAGAGATGAGTGAACAATGAGGCTGAGGAGATTGTCAATGGAAAAGCAGAGGCTTCTCAGCTGTGAAGAGGAATGTGGATCTTAATCTGTTGCAATGGAAAGGCACTGAAGGACTTTAGGAATAGAACTGGCATCTTATACTTTCCATAGCGCTGTACCAGTTTACATTTTCACCAGCAGTGAATGAGGTTTGCCCTACAACCTTCCAACACATGCTGTTATTTGCTTTGTTGATAATAGCCATTCTATCAGGTGTGAGGCAGTATCTCATTGTAGTTTTGATTTGCGTTTCCCTAAGAGCTAGTGAAGTTGAGCATCTTTTCCTTCCATAGATAACTGGATAAAGAAGATGTGGTCCATATATACAATGGAATACTACTTGGCCATAAGAAAAGATGAAGTACTGCTATTTGCAATGACACGGGCGGACCATGGAAATATCATGCTAAGAGAAATAAGTCAGACAGAAAAAGTTAAGAACCGTATGACTTCACTCATATGTGGGACATAAAACTAAAAGCAACCAATGACTAAACAAGAAAAACAAATAAATGAAAGCTCATAGACACAGACAACAGGATGGTGGTTACCAGAGAGAAAGGAGCTGGAGATAAGGGATGATTCAACTGTGGGCGGTGGGCACACAATGCGATACAGAGACTACATATCGTAGGAATGCGCACTTGACACCTATATGATCTTATTAACCAATGTCACCCCAATTAAATTAATAAAAAAGAAATAGCATTATCTGATTTATTAAAATAAACAAAAAACCCTTAATATTTACAATGGCGGATTAATCGGGGGACTAGGAAAGCAAGCAGAAGAAAGCAAGCAGGACACTGCTGCTGAGATCCATGTGAGAAATTTTGTTGCCTGAACAAGGAAATGGAGATACATTATTGGATATTTCTGTCATTATTCCCAAAAGAGAGTCACCTGATTAGCTGAATGTCATGATTATTGTAATCTGTTCAGTAGGTAAATCTCTACACAAAATGTAAATTCACTGGGCTCATATGCTTGATGAAAAATCTATCACCGCCATAGGATTAATTCTTCTCTACCTGATTCATCTTGAACAAGTGATTTCTGATTGATTCCTAAATTAAAACCTCAACCTTCCAGAATGTTAGTGCAAATATGTTAATATTCTAATTATTCCAAAGGGACATTACTTTTTGTAAGTTTTCAAACTGGCATTTTGATTTATACATAAGCTTTTGATGAGATGGTTAGAATCACTCAATGCTACTACATCTGATTAACTCTCAGTAGACTATTACTAACCCCATACTGCACTGATTTCAAAAAGTAAATAAATCTTCTATAAATAGCAAATCATTTTGGCAATGTACAAAATATTACCTGTTTAATATCATTGATAGTAACAACTGAACATATAAAAAAAGCTTTGTCATTAGATTGAAATTGACCTACTTTTATGTAGTTTAGCCAATATGCATATATTTCTGAGACAACAGTGGAAATATGTCATTAAAGATAGCTCCATGGTAGGGGACAAAAGCCAGAGCACTAAGTTCAAGTTTGATATCTGTAAGCTGAATACAGGGGGTTTTAACTATCACCTAACAGCTTCGGGCTACAATTACTTTTTCTGTAAAAGGAGAACATTAAATATGATGAAAATTAATATCCCAGTCAGATCTGAAGTCCCATGTCTTGTACAATGTGGAATATAATCTTTTAGTGCAAGAAAGAAATAATAAAGACCACAAAGAGAAGAGCAGAGATTTGGCCACATCAAAATCCAGCTTAATTTCACACGAATGAGCTAGCCAGTCATCATCCACAGAATAGTTGCTTTTCTAAAAACACACTCATTCATCTACCCATACAATCAGGACTATCATTCTTAAAAGAGTAAAATTTATAAAAATAGTCACAAATATGTAGACACATGAAATTTATTTTCACCTTCTAGAAATTAAAAACAAATAATATGAAAATCCATAGAAAAGAAGCCATGAAAAATTCATCATCGAATGTTAACTAAAAGAAACAAGGCACTACAACCCACTATTTAACTTCTTTTTTATTTAACCGTAGTTAATTAGTACCCAATGCATTGTATGTATCGAGTTTATTTATTAACTACATGTATAGTGTTTCTAATATAGATTATTAATTCATGCAACAAATATTAACTAACTGTAATTACTACATGCTCTGCTAAATAGTGGGCATTATCCTCACTGAAGTGAAGTTAAATGAGAAAAATGATAGCTTGTTACAAGTCATTTGAAGAAAATAATCATTGTACTATGAAAAATGAGTACTATGGGGCTTCTCATCACCTCCTTATATTACCTCCTTTATATCACGAAATGGATTGACTAGGTATATCTTAATTTGATAAAGTATAACATTCCTATGCCTTTTTGTTAATGAGAAGAAATAGCTAAAATCCAACCTATTAAGCTACCATTTAACATAACTATCCAGACTGATGTAAACATAGAACTTTAAATATAATCCATAAATTTGTTCACTTAAATAAACATTCATTGATTGGTTATCTCCTTTGCATCAAAAGATGAATTTCGAAGGTCATTTAATTCAATTCTCTCAATAAATATATGTTTTAAAGATATATTAAGTAAAAATATTTTAAAAAGTTGATTACTTTTTCAAAAATACTCAGTTAGTGGTGAAACAAGGCAAGGAATCCAGGCCTTCTTGAAATAGAGTAAGTTTTTGTTTTTGATTGTGTAGTTTTAAAAACAATTAATGCTATTCAAAGAATGACCAACTAAAAAGCATTTGCACTTTGTGAGTTTTCAAAAGACTCCCTGAAACACTGAGTTAATTAAAATTGCATGAACTTTCTCAAGATGCAACTATTCATGAGCAGAAGCAATTAAATTTCTTATTGGATCCTGAAGTTTGTGATTTAAATCAGAAAACAAAGCTGTGAAAGGAGACAGGTGTAGTAACAAATATATGTAAATACATCCAAAAATTCTTTAGTTTCATTGAATGTAAAAAAGCTTGTCTGCTAAAGAGCAAAGAGAAGAATTTTTTTTTCCATTCTCCTTATTTGAGAGTGTTGGAAGGTAATGACATCTACTCGTCCAGTTAAATAGAGATTTACAGGATAATTAATATATCAATTGCTGTTGGAATTTAATTAAGAAGAAAATGTGAGAAAGAGAAGACATTCTTGGCATGTAGTTTTATCGCTGAGAAAGTTAAGGGATTAAATAGGGCTTTCAGAATACATATCTGCCGGAGTTTTGGGAAAAAGCTAAGGTTCAAGGAGCGAACATTTAGATACTTGTTGAAAGTAATAAAACCACTCTAAAGATCTAACAGAATAGGTTTATAATTTTTTAAAATTCCATTATGTTGACATATATAAATAAGCACACACACACACACACACACACACACACACACCCCTACATCCCATACCCCCATGTAAATGATCACGGGGCGGGGGCAGGGGGGCGGCGATGGAGAGAGAGAGAGGAGCGAGAGAGGTGCATGACGGAAGAAAAGGTGTAACGTATGAACTAGTTGTCTTTCTTACTTGAACTTACTGTTAAGGTATAAAAAATGCGTAAGGAGAAATGGTGGGTAGCTTGTGCCTCTAAGTAGCCTTATCTTTAGACTTCCCACCTTCATCTTTATAAAACCCTAATTACGACTGAAGGAAACTCACTCGAGTTTCCTGGCTAGAAGCGGGCAAGGATTGTGAGAGGATTCTAGAAGCAGCGAGTTTTCCTGTCCGCAGCTGCCCATGAAACCTCATTCTCTGCTTTGCCATCGCCCTTTCCATGGGCTTAATGCTTATTCTTACTGAATTTCCGTGTAAGGTCCAAGACAAGGGGTCGCATCCGAAAAGACCTTTAGTTACTAAATTGTACCTTTCTCCGGAAGCAAACAATGGAGGGACCCTTCAAAGCGATTCTGCTACCTAGTCGACCAAAGCCGCTGACTTTCCCAGGTTTAGCCCTGGAGCTTCCTTCCCCCAATGGACTCCAGTCGCTGTTTAGGCTCTGCATCAGTTACTCGGCTTTTTTGACGGGTGAAGTGCTAAGCCCCGCCCACCGATGTGAGTGGCCTGTCGCTCCATCCCGCTGTGCGGCGGTGATTTGCCGGCGAGACCGAGTCGTCAGGCCCCGCCCCGTTTCCCTTTACCGCGCTAGCTGTCTCGGGTTTTCCCCAAAGGTGAAGAGTGGGATTCGGGCCGGCGGCGCTTGGAGCAGGTGGAGAAGCATCGTCGTTCCGGCCGTCGCTGCTATTCTTTCTCCAAACGTGGGTCTGAGTCAAGGAAGGACAAGCATTCTTCCTTTGCCGCTAGAGCTCCAGTGAACTGTTGCCCAGAACCTAGGCACTTCATACATTTCATCTCACCCATCATTCCGCTTTCACTGTGTAAATCACCTGCACATTTGTAACCCTGTGAATGTCCCTCTGTTAAATGTTCAGAGAAGGGGTCGAAAGGGAATTTCAAGGGTTTGAAAGACAGGGCCTCCGCCGACTGCGGGGAGCTGTCTGTGGTGCTGAAGCTTTCCAGGAGGTTCTCTCCACCAGCACACGGAGTTAGATTGCACATTTCCATTCCTGGCTCTCTCGTCCCCCCATGCCCTGGATAAGACTAATTTCAGGATCGTGACTATCTCTCCGTATCATGGCCCACGTGAGACACTTTCGGACATTAGTTTCGGGATTTTATTTCTGGGAAGCAGCATTGTTACTCAGGTGAGTCCACTTGTATTTAACAGTTGCAGAACCCGTTAAAGCCTGTGTACTACTAGGTTGCAACCACTTGTTATTGATGAGATCAAGAATGCAATTAGAAATTGACTTGCTGAAACCATCCCTTAAGCCGTATTGTATTCTGTCTAAAGGTGTCTGGCAGTCTGTTGAGACCTCTGAAAACATATAACTTTGCTCTATTTTCAGGAATTAATCATTTTAGTAACTGGCATCTTATATTAACAGAAGCTGAAATTACCTTGGAAAAGTTATTTCCAAAGTCAAGTTTTTCCTTTTCAAATTGCTATTGGTTTCCCATTTCTAAGTAAGTTATAAGTTGTGGATGTTACTCCCTTTTGGGAATTAAAAACATTCAGTAGTTAGAAATGGAACACTACTAACTTTTTAAAAGGCAAAATATTTAGAACATAAACATTTTCTAATGAGAAAAATTTTGAACATTGTTGATGATATATCCAGAGGTTGAGTTAAATGAATAAAAAAATTAAGACCTTGCAAGTATTATTTTCTAATGAGTTTAGTTCAGGTAATACATGGAGGTAAAAATCATAAATAAATCATTAGATATACTATATGTCAAGAATAATCTTTTTGGAGAAGTTAGTAGAAAACCTATAGAACAATAATACTGTTCTATGACATGTAATTTTCTTATCATGTCCAGTCTTACTTGGTAGGCCTCATTTAAAAAAATTAATTTCAAGAGGAAAAGAGAGACTACATAAAAGATCAGATAATTTAACCACTATTCTTAATAAAACAATGTATAAGCAAGATACTGCTCATATAGTTCTTTGAATTATCAATATATATTTCATTTTACTCTTATAAAATTACCTCATTATTATAATTTCCATATAATGGGTCACAAGATTTACAAGAGGATTGAAATAAAATAATTAGAGTAATTAAGTTATGTATATAGTATTTCTATTTGAAGCATGTAAATATTCTTTTCTGGGTTGCTAGGTCAATTTTTCATCTTTGGGTACTTTAGAAAAAACATAGTGTATTTCATAAAAATTGCCTTACAGAAAGCTATATTATTTTGATATGCCTGTAATAACAGGGACTAGTTGTGAAGGTTATTATATTTCTGAAATTTTTGACTTTTTCTTAAGGGGTTGAACAATTGTAAACCAGCATATTTTCAGTGACAATGTTCTAATAAGACTTAGTAAATTTTTAACTTTATAATTGTCACAAACTTTAGTTTTTAATTTTTATTTTTTTACAGTTGTCACAAATTTTATATGTAGTGACCAGAGCAAAGAATGCAGGGCTTTTTTACATTTATAAAAATTTCATGGAAAGGAGTTTATGTAACAAGATAAATTGGTCATTTTATTATAATTGTTTTTTAGTATTTTAGATATAACATGCATATTTATTTTTTCAAGTAAATCATAATAGCTTAGTTGATAGATACTCAGATTTGGAAAGCTTAATGTCAATACCTAAAATATTTTGGTCAACGTGGTCAAATTTTTATAAAGGCACTTAACCACATTGTTATAACATATTCTGAGGTATATAGTAATCTTTCTCACTAGAGTTTCTGATTTTTGTCTAGTTTTATTGAAATTCTCTTGAGTTGTATTTCAAACTTACAGTCATGTTTATAAGCATTATTTTCATTAATATTAAATACTTTTAGTTAAAAATGTTTTTTGTGAATAATCCCAGAATATAATCCCTTGGAAAAGACATACCCAATATAAAGGTTTATGCGATACATTTATTCTTCATCAAGTTTTTCTTTCTTCTTTTGTAAATTGAATAGAATTTTTCTTTATCTTAGACTAATCTCAGATGAGAATAGCTTATCACCCTGAGTGGCTTTAATCATATGTAAAAAATTAATATTTTTATTTTCAGTGATGGCCTTTGAAAGAAAATTTTCTATAGTAAGGAATGTGAAGCTCCCTCTACTGGAAATATTTTGTAAAATAAATGTCTGTATGGGAACTATTCTTTGTTCATTCAGTCTATTTGTGATGAACTGAGCAAAAAGGAAACATATTAAAAAAATAAAGTAAAAAAAGTATTTAATATTATTTCATAAAAATATCTGTTTAGTTTAAAAGTATTCCTTCCAGGGTAAGTTGGAGGCAAAAACATCTAGAAACCATCAATATTTATAATTAAATAATTTATGAGTACAAGCTTTTTTCCACAGGTTTTAAAAGCTTTTTAAATTTTTTATTGAGATATAACATACATGCAGAAAAGTGCACAAATAACAAGTTCCATCTAAATTTTCACGAAGGTAAAACGTCGTGTAAAGACCATGAACAAGAAGTAGCCCAGTTAGTCTCACAGAAGCCCTAGCCCTGCCCCCTCCCACCACCATATCCTTTCCCAGGCACTGCCTTACCCAACTTTCCCAGGCACTGCTTTACCCAAAGATAATCACTATCCTGACTTTTGTAACAATAAATGTGTTAGTCCTGATTTTGAACTTTATATGGATACTCATTTGAGTCTGTTTTATTTTTATGAATATTATGTTTATGTGATTTATCTATATTGTTGTGTAAAACATTTTTTATGTTTTAATTTTTATTTATTTTTCAATAGCAATAGCTTGTTTATTCTCATTGCTCAATGGTATCCCACTATATAAAGACATCACAATTTATCTACTGTTCTATTATGAATATCTGAGAATTTTTTAGGTTTTGGCTAGTGCTGCGATGAACATCCTTGAACATGTCCTTGTATGAATACATTTATTTTGAGGACTGTATGGGTTGAACCAAAGTCTTTCTCTAGAACAGAAATAGTTGGATTAAAGGGTGGTTTAGTAGATGCTGCATAGGTTTAGCTTTAGTAGATACTGAAAGTTTTCCAAAGTAGTTGTGCCTACTTATATTCCAGCCAGCAATGTTTGGTAGTTCCCGTCGCTATTACAACTACAAAATTTGACCAGTGCAATATTATTATAAAAACTCCTCCCATTTTCTTAGACTATTATTGCAAGCCACAGATGTGATTTTATCTTGGCATAATTTTTACTTTTTAGTAAATAAGTTTTATTAAGGCAAAAACATCAGAACAAAAATATTTACTACTATAATACAATTAGATGTATTCATTACAGAATATGGTTGGTATAAGAAATGTAATTTAAAAGGGGAATTATTAAAGAGGAGAACTCTTAATAAAAACAACTGAGAAAATTGCATAAACATACATAAGAAATCTGAATTTCTTATTAGAGAAATTTTTAAAAGTTTCATGCTTTGCTCAGATATTGCTCTTTTTTGAAGTAATTCTTCTATGGGTTTTGGGTTCTAGTTCTTATATTAATAAAATAAAGAACAAAACACCAGTGTTCAGCTTTCTTTGAAATGTAGATAAGTGATGATTATGAAGAGTTTGAGGAACAAATTCCAAAAGTAGGGGAGCTGCCCGAAATTTTTGTTTAAATTAACAAAAATTGTTTAAGTTAACAATTTTGCTTTTTATTGTTATAGTTTGATACCAATGCAGCCTTGCTATATGAATAAATTATGGAACATTGTGTCAAAAGCTAATATGTGAATTTCAGACTTCATTATAATTACAAATAAAATGTTTTCTTGGTTTAATTCAAAGTCTAAGAAAAACACTTTGTTAGAGTTTCTTGTTTTTGCTTTAGGTATGTTTGGGGGAAAACCCTTTTTAATGTTGGTTCTTTTTTCTTATGTAAGATACTAAATAAAACTGTACTTCAAGGAATAAACTTTTACTTTTATAATGATTTCTTATATTCAGGTACAGTAGCAGAATTCTGTACCATTAAAAAATATTATGGTATATGTAATATATGTTTCTTCCCTTTGCATCCCTAAATAGTGATACATTTTCCCAAGTATAGAGGGATCATGGCCCAATTTTCTACTCAATGCCTCCAGCAGTTTGTTCTGAAGTTTCAGAAAACAGCTAATCAAATATTTTTTCTTGTATGCAAGTTTTCTCTCCCTTGACTGCACATACTGAGGCAACTCAATCAACAAATGTGTGCTTCATATGTAATGTTAAGCAATTCAAAAAAGATTCCTTTACCAAATTCTGTGCCCAAATATTTGTGCTGGGTACAATGTGGCTATGAAAGATAGGGAAACTGCCATCTTTCCCAAAATGTGCCTCAGAGTGTAGCAGGAAAGAAATACAGAGGGCCACATGACAAAAACAAAACAACACAAAACAAAACAAAAAACAAAAAGCCACTAACAGCAATGTTTAAGGAATGTAAGATTGGGGAGCTATCCAGAAGTTCTGGCACTTGTGCTGGATCTTCTATGATGCTTGTTCCATGGGCATAAATAAAGTATAAAGAAAACATTCTATGCAAAAGAATAAGATAGGCCTACAGTATGTTTAGGGAACGGTCATGTTCAATTTCAGTTGAAGGAATGCCAATGTATGGTTTAAATCATGTTCTAATGGCAATAACTACTGAGCTGGCTACAATAATAAACCTGCAGAGATAGAGAGGACTCACTACTTCCTTTCACAGTGCAATATGGGTAAAACTTAGAAACAAATAATTTAATTATAACTGGATAGTTATCATTTCAGGAGTGGTCCTGTAACTGGACTCAAAATATTTCTATGTACTCCTCTCTTTCAGAGGTGGAATTATTGCAGAATTACAATTAATCATAAGATAGCTGATAATAATTAATAATAGTAAGAACAAACAAACAATGACAAAAACTACAAGAGAGAATAATCTACTTGTTTTAGAATTTGGAGACCATGTTTGAATTTTACATAAAAATATGATTTATTTTATTATATTTATTTTTTCTTTTCCTATTCCTTTAAACTTTTTATATAGACCTTATTTTCTAACAATTTTGCAAACAATTAAAATAGTTGGTAGACTACCCAAAGCTGGCCTTTGTGATCTTTTATAAGAATTATTGGATCAACTCATTTTTTATGTTTTAATTTTTATTTATTTTTCAATTACAGTTCGCATTCAATATTAT